GCAAGAGTAGCCTGGCTTGTGGTTGTGTTTTCGTCGTCGCTCTGTTAGTACGTCATATGCTTCGTTAATCTGATTGGTTTATTTGGCCCGTCTTCAGGTTTCAGTTTTACTTTGCTCCATGTTTTCTAGTTTTATTGGTTTAATTCCTATTTTGTTGTGTCTTCTGGATATATTTGAGTTATTAGGTTTTTATTTGTATTGGCCTCCTTTTTCCTAGCTCCTTTCTAGACTCCTCTGTTCACACCTGCTCCCAATCAGCTCGTTAGTCCACTCTTTGTTCAGTCTCCCAGTGCTGGTTCCTCATCTTACCTTGTCTTACCCTGGCTCCTCATGCTTGTTTTCCCATTATATCTCCATGGTTCTGGTTGTTTAACATTTTAAGTTGGATTTTTGAATTTCTGCCTCTGTTACCTGTGATCACTACATTAAAACTGCAAGAACTCCCCTCTGCCTCCCTATCTCTGCATTTGGGTCCTCAAAACCTCAACAAACCCTGACAAATAGTCTGTCTCTATATTTCATTCAAACATTGTGAACTTCTTTTTCTGTACCAACTTTTCTTTAGATGCCGGTTATTTTCTGATGCTAGTTGTGCAAAAAATATAAATAGCATAATTTCTATGATGTTGTTTTTTTTGTATATCTGCTCATTCATTTTATACATGTGTATGAGTATAATAAGCTGGATAAAATACTAAACCTTGGCTCTCTCTCTGCAAAGACATAAAGATGTAGTGTATCTAGATGAGACAGATAGCATCTAGGCCCCCAGCCTTACCGATTGTCTGGAAACGTTTTAGCGGGTAGGTCACGCAGATGAAGTTCTGGCCGTTGTTCACTCCGCTGCCTGGGTAATAAAACACTCCTTCCCGTTGCTCAGGGGGGAAGTGAGGGGTGCTGTGGACCAACCAGAAGCCCTGATTCTTATCCAGCAGAACCATGCCTGAAGGGTGGAGAGGATCCAAGGGTTAACACCAACCTAAATCATTGTTTTTTGAAAACCCATCCATTACATGAAACAAGTTAAACATCGGATGAAGTCCTAAGAGGGAAGCATTCGATTTGGGCTTAATTTATAAAAGATCATTAAAGATCAGGAAGGAGATGGCCCATCTTGGGGAAAATCTGATTGGACTAAGAAGGTGTCATGTAAACATGTCAGACAGAATCTTTTGATTCGATTCAGCAGGATCCGAATAAAATGATTGATCCAAACTGAACATTTTATTGGCTTTATTTTAATCCAGCAGGCTGACTTGAATACTTCCGCTTTTGGTGGCTAAAAGCTTTTTAGACTATTTTGATCAGCATGTTTACATCTCATTTTCAGTCTGATTCACCTTTTTATTCGAATACTTTTTGTCCACATAAACGGCGCAACTCCAATACTTTTTCTTTTTTGATCCAAACACATTTTGATCCGATGCTCGTAAACATGGCTACCGACACAGAGGAACCTGACCTTTGGTGTGCCCTCTTCCGTTTCCGCTGCTTTCAGTCCATCGGTCACCAAACTGCCCAACAGGTTTCTGGTCATTGTAAAGGATGTACGCTAGCTCTGAATTCTGTAGAAAGAATATTTTATTTAAAACAACAGACTGATTTTGACTCAGCTTTTTTCACAAATAAGGACTAAACACAAAATAAATAAATATTTTAATTCCCTCAGACTTAAAGGAAAAATTTGACCCAGTTCATGATGGACTCTGGACGGGATCTCAACATTCAATCCTAGAGTCAAAAACGGATTTAGGAATGTCTACTTTTTGTGTTTAGCAGTAGATGCGGATCTGTGGACCTATTTCTGGTCTCATGAGTGAATCTTGTTACATAATCGTTTGAAGTAAAGAACACATCTTGTAAAAGGAAGGGAGCAGCGCACTTCCCACTCCCGGCTCAGGAGGATGTTCGCTCATTCTCTCCCCGCTCAAAGTTGCGCTTTTTGCGCATTCAAAATGTCAGAATAGCATTGAGTTCGAGGCTTTATAGAGTTGACCAAAAACCCAGCCTTAGTTTGGCATAGAAAACATGCAAATTCAAACGGACGAAGAGGTCCGCCCCTTAGGAACGGGTCGTTAGGGTTCTTCATTAGCCTGCAATACCCGATGCTGGTCTATGTCTCCAAAAGGGTGGTCGTTAACCTCTTACACCCTAAGGGGGTATAAATAAATTTCTGCCTGACAAAAACACACAAAAGTAAAT